TCATTCTTCTTATTCCAAAAAAGGAAGCCCCTGATACCTTCTCAAATTACAGGCCTATTTGCCTCTCCAATTTCACTAATAAGATCTGTACAAAGGTCTTGGCTTCTAGATTGGTTAATATTCTGCCTAGAATTATCTCTAGTGAACAAGCTGGGTTTGTTAAAAATAGGGATATCTCAGATTAGATTCTTATCGCTCAAGAACTGATTCACTCTATTGATAAGAATATCAGAGGATCTAATGTGGTCATTAAACTAGACATGACTAAAGCTTTTGACAAGCTCTCTTGGAATTATCTGTATGAGGTGATGGCTAAGTTTGGTTTTTCTGATGTTTTTATTTCAATTGTTAGAGCTAACCTTCAGTCTACTTTTCTCTCTATTCTTATTAATGGAAGCCCACATGGTTTCTTCCAACCTAAAAGGGGTGTTAAACAGGGGGAACCCTTATCCCCCTTTCTATTCATTATAGCTTTTGAGGGGTTTTCCAGAGGATTGAAAGCTAAAATGGAGCAAGGAAATATTAAACCATACTGGTTGGGCAAACAAGGTTACTCTATCACTAATCTTGGCTTTGTTGATGACTTATTAATTTTCTCTAATGGTGACTCCAGATCATTAGTGAATTTTAATAATTTTGTCAAAGATTATCAGGCTGCCTCTGGATAAACAGTTAATTTTGAAAAAAGCAGTTTCACATGTGGGAAGAAAGCTACTTACAGGAGTGCAACTGTTGGAACATATTGTTTTGTTGATGACAAACGACTAGTGTTACTTTTGGTCTATAAGTGATTGCAGGAAAGGAAGTTAAGTCATGCTTTGGAACAAGCCGTAGACCTGGACAAAGGACATATATGTCTTATTGTTTTATTGATGACTAACCATGCAGGTAGACCAGCGAATAGACCAGCCGATAGATCAGCGGAGTTCTATCAGGAACGGAAATTAGAACTATACTTAGTTCTGTTCTGGATGACTAATTAACGTGCATAATGATTAAATGAATTAATATGTGATTGCATAATAATGCCTTATCTACGTACCTTGTTTGTTATGCATGAAAGTGGCACAATTAAAATATATTTTCATAAATGATTGATACCCACTTAAATAATTGTGCCTTTAACTTTATAAAAAGTAATTGTGCTTTTTACTTTATGGAAAGTAATTTTGGCTTGCTAAATTAAGGATTGCATGGCTCATGAATTGGTTGGTCCGTAGCATGCTTATTGATTGTCAAATAAATATTCCCTTGCATTATGATTTGAAAAGTTATCCTTGATTTAAGATATTAAATCTTGTTTGGCAAGAATCTTGTCTCGCTAGTAATATATGGACCGTTACTTGATAAATTACTTTCCTTCATATAAATTACTTGCCATCTTTTTTAAAGGTTGACCGTAGCATATTTATAATTGTTAAGTAAATAATTTATTTCCTTGCTACACGTTTTGAATAAGTCATCTTTGTTTGAAATAAAATCCGTATATGATATGTCGCATGCCTATATACATATTGAGAGAATAAATTATTTTTCTTAATATATGTTGATATCTATTCTTGTGGAATTATCATTGAATATTTGGCCATATAATTTATGTCTTTTTGGTGATTGCATGACTCACTCCTAAAATACACGTATCCACTTGCTCCCATATATATGTGGCTGACCAAGGACCATCATAAGTGAGAGCTAGAAGATCCTTGAATAAAAGGAAAGATTTTTGAATAATATCAAGGCAAGTTTCTCAACCACCTAAGGAAAGAAAAACATCAACGGACTGCTCCAATTAGCCTTCATATATGCCGAGATCAAGAAGAGCAGATGTGTGCTTAACTAGAGAAATATCAAGAGACAGGCTCGAGAAAAATACGAAGTTCAAGGCACCTGAAACTGCTCACTCGGAGTTCTAGATAGAGTTTCTTCTTTCCCTTCTTCATATTGTAATGGGGTTTTGAGGATTGGCTAAGAGTAGCCTCCCGGGTTGGTTTGTGTGAGTGAGAGCTTTGTTGTAAAGCTGAGAGGCTCTCTACCCACAAGGTAGAGAAGCGTAACTCTTCCTAGAGAGGATAGAGTTGGGGTGGCTCAAGGGTAGACTAGGAGAGTTTCCCTTGTAATCATTCAAAGACTTTTTAGTGAAATTGTTAAAATTCCTCCGAGGGAGGTCGAGGTTTTTTAATCCCTGTGAGTCAAGGGATTTTTCCTCGTTAAATACTTGTGCACTTTACTATTTCGCAATTCCCTTTACCCCACACTAGAACTTGGCGAAAAACTGCCACAGTTCCACACACACACACAATTAACCCCCCCCCCCCCCCCCCTCTTGTGTTGCTAATTGTTTTCATCAACAACAATCCAAAGAATCTTGGGGATGAAAACATCCAGTCTTCCCTTAAGTATTTGGGTGCCAATCTGCATAAAGGAGTTAATACGTTTCAGTATTGTTCTCAATTGCTCAAACATTTTGATTCTAAATTATCTTCTTGGAAGCAAAAAGTACTGTCACAAGGGGGAAGGTTAATACTGATTAAACATGTATTGAGCACTATCCCTAATCACATCCTGGCTACAGATAAACTTCCTAAATCTGTGATATCTGCTCTAGAGAAGAAAATGACAAGCTTCTAGGGAAGAGGGTTCATTGGGCTAAGTGGTCTAAGCTTTGCTTTCCCACTGAGGAAGGTGGTTTGGGGATTAGAAGAATTGCAGATGTGGAGAAGGCTTTCAACCTAAAAATATGGTGGAAGTGGAAAAACATAAGCTCTTTTTGGTGTGATTTTATTAATGCTAGATATCCTAGGAATGGAGATATGAGGGCTAAGATCACTGACTCTACAATTTGGAGAAGGATTTGTGATATTAGTGATATTTCTACTGACTTTTGTTCTATTGATGAAGCTGGGAATTCTGTCTGGGATCCAGGTATCAATGGAACCTTCTCTTTATCATCTGCATATAATGAAGTTAGAGATCACAGGTCAGTAACTTTTTCAGACACTCACATATGGAATAAGTATCAGCACATGTCTGTCAAATTATTCATGTGGAAATTGCTTCATGCCTATCTGCCCTTCCTTGAGAATATGAAGAGATTTCAGTTAGTTCAGCAGCCAACAAGATGCCCTTTCTGCAAAAATCATAGTGAATATGTTGACCATGTTTTCTGGGGTTGCTCTTATACAAGAAAAAATTGGGTCTACTTCATGGGAATATTTGGAATTACGGCTCCTAGAGCCTCATCCTTTCGACAAATACTTATTTCTTGGTGGATTGAAGCTGGGTCTATAAAACTTTCTGATTTATTTAAGCATAATATGCCAGGCATCATTTGCTGGCATGTTTGGAAAGAATATTCTTCCTATATTTGGGGTTCGAGTTCCATTCCATCTCCGGAATTTCTAATATCTCAAATCAAATGCTATACTCAGAATTGGGCTGGTAAATTGGCAAGAACGAAACCTAAACCTATGGAGGACTTCCTTTGGCAAGAACATTTGATTTCAAGGAACTTTAGGTTTAAGTCTTCTGGTTTACAAGTGATTAAGTGGAGAAGGCCTAATAAACTTTACAAATTAAATGTAGATGCTTCATATATACTTGGCTTGGCACAAGGAGGAGATATTTTGCGGAATCGGTCTGGGGTTTTGATCTATGCGATATTTTTCCAGGTCCAGGCCGATGGTTGTGAGGAGGCGGAACTGAAAACCTTGATCAAAGCTTCAGAAATGGTTATGGCGGATGGTTTTGTTGAAGTTCAGGTGGAAACTAATGTTGTCCGATCGATCTCTATCTTGCTTAACGATTCAGGAAACTCAGCTGATATTCAAGCGTTTAGAAGGAAAGCGATGGGTTTGGGCTATTCATTCGATCATATTTTCCAGGAAGGAAATGGGCCGGCACATTATTTGGCGACCCACCGGAATAACCGGGCCCAAAATCTGCGTTTTAATTGGGTTGATTTGCTCCCAGTTTCTGTTAAGAATGCTTACTATGCTGATCTCTTTGGTATTCCTAGCTTACGTTTTTAAATTGTTGTATTTCAATTTTGGGTCAGGTATAGCCCCCCCAAAATTCAAGTACTTTTTCCTCTTATTTGTTTTGATGTCATGTACTTTCTCAGAGGTATGCCTCTGAAGGGAGGTTTTGGTTTGGTCCCCCTCCTTTTGTACTCCGCTTCATAATTAATAAAACTCTGGCAAATGTTCCCCGACATTTGCCCCACTGATTTTGGTGGTTTGCCTTCCGGGTTAAAAAAAAAAGATGGTAGTCAATACACATTCGGAGTGTGCCATCCTTTTTCGTCACAAATAGAACTGGTGCTCCCCACGGGGAATAACTTGGTCTAATGAAACTGTTATCCAATAGCTCTTGCAATTGGGTCTTCATTTCGTTAAGCTCCTTAGGTGCTACTTGGTACGGTGGTATAGAGATTGGTTTGGTACCAGACTCTACCTCGATCACAAACTCAATCTCCCTATAAGGTTGAAGTCCTGGTAAGTCTTTAGGGAAGACATCCGGATACTTGCACACTATCCTTACATCATCGATATTCGTCTCTTCTTTGATCTTGTCAACCACGTATGCAATGTCACGCCCCGGACCTACCCGGACACGTCAACAATCCGCCGTACAGTACGAATGGTCAACCGCAGTCCAACACATTCATACTATACAAGGCGTCTGGGATATCATTCACACATAGTACATCCATAAACAAACATAATATAAAATATTCATTCAACGCAGCGGAAACGTTTAATACAAGTGTTCAAGCCACACTTGGCGTAACATGGGCATACAAGCCACCAATAGTTATTCAAAAGATAACATCCATGAGCATTAATTTAAATGAGTTTAAAACAGGAACGGCGGAAGCACGAACCACGTCTTCTTCTCCTGAATTCCCTTGGAGCAACGGCGAGGGTAGCAACCTTCAAGTTCTACCTGAAACTGTGAGGTGGCCTCCCCCGTGAAGGGGAGGTCAGTACTTGGAAGCATTTGACAAGTACAATGACAACTATACTAAGTATAATCAAAGTTTCAATTTCCAAGACCCTCAATCTAGGATGTTATTATATTATAGGTCATAACCCGTGGTTACCCTCTTTAAAAGTATACTTACTTTATATATAAAGTCAAGTAGTCGCCCGAAGGCCCATGTTTACTTTGAAAACATTTAACCCTTTCCCCGTGACTTCAAGCCACACCCATATATATTAGTTTACCATGCTAGAGGCTTCCTCTAGTCATGTTTTGTCGTGCTAGAGGCTTACTCTAGTCACTCCACTTGGTGTTAGAGGCTTCCTCTAATCACCTTACATACGTTGTGCTGGAGGCTTCCTCCAGTCACATCACGTTACGCTAGAGGCTTCCTCTAGTCGTCCTACACGAATGCTGGAGGCTTCCTCCAGTCATTCTTCATCGTGCTAGAGGCTTCCTCTAGTCACGATACTAGTTCACTAAGCAAGTTCTATGCCTAGAGTTCCTCTATTATGAGTAGCCTTTGAGGCCTACTCCTACGGTAACTTAGCGTTTACCCATTTCTACCTTAAGACATCTCATTTTTTTTTTTGGATAACATGTAAGTATATTAGAAACCGTCCAAAGAGTTTATCTGTACAGCCAAAATATGAGCAAAAACGTAGGCTATCCAAATATTGGATAACCCATCACCTGCCAAAATAAGGGAGCCATAGCAGCCCCCCTATACTACCTCACGACCAATCACAAACAGAAACGGTGATGGGCGGACAGTTATGAAAGTACTACCAAATCACAAGGATAAATGCTATACAAAATTTGAAAGACAATATATTTTATCCTAGCAAAAACATCCTCCTCTTTAGGCAAAAATCCATCAAATCTAGCTGCATTCCTGACTCTCCAAATCCAGTAAATGGTGCAAGAGAAAGCAATCCTAGCAGCCTTGGCTTGCACATTAGCTCCGCTCCTTTCCTTCTTGATCCATTTGACCGAGCTAGCTAGGGTCCCCATCATCCGTGGAATGCCAATCCAAGCTTTCATCATAGTCCAGACCTTACCTGAAAAAGGGCATTCAAAGTAGAGGTGTGGAACCGTTTCCGGTCCACCCTTGCACAATACACAAGTATTATCCACATCTAATCTATGAAGATTATCACATGTGGCTAACCTATTCCGGAATGCCAACCAAGTAATAAAGGAAAATTTGGGAGGGATGTAATCTTTCCAAATAAATGGCATCCACACACGGGTGGCAGCCCTAGTCCTAAGCAAATTATAAACCTTGGAGGATACAAGCTTGCCATTGAACTGAAGAGCATTTAGGCCAAGTATAGCGCTCGGAATGTCCGGGAATTTGGAGAGTATTTCATCTCGGATTAGTGCAATCTTCTTAAATAGTTGTGAATCTCTTTCGTGTGGGACAAACTCCCACACACTCCTGCCCTTTAGATAAACCCCATGTACCCACTTGACCCAAAGTGTGTCCTTTTTAGTGTGTATATCCCAAAAAGTTTTGGAAAGTAGAGCCTTGTTCCATACCTTCGTGTCATGTATACCAAGTCCGCCTTCTTCTTTCGGGAGGCAAATATCCGCCCATGCGACCCTAGCGAATTTACTTCCCCAAAGAAAAATGCGGCAAATGGATGTAATCCTGTCAAGAATAACATTAGGGATGGGAAACATTTGTAGCCAAAAAGAGTGTACACCCTGTATAACCGACTTGACTAGCTCAACTCAGCCTGCATAAGATAAAGACTTAAGATTCCAAGCATTAATAAAAGTGGTGATGGACTCCAAAAGGGGTGCATACTGGGCCACAGATAACTTTAAGGGCGCCAGAGGGACCCCAAGATATTTGACCGGGAATGCACCAATTTTAAAGTCCACCAGTTCAAGTATAGTGTCAAGCTCATAATATGCATTACTACCAAGGAAGATATTTGATTTATCATAGTTGACCCTAAGGCCAGATATGTTACCAAAATCTTCCAAAACATCTGTGAGAATCTGTATAGATGTGGTATCACCTCTAGAAAAAAGCATCAAATCATCAGCATATGCCACATGTGAAATGTTAAGTGATCCACACAAAGGATGGTGCTTGAACATAGGATTTTTGGTCCTATCATTCAATAGCCTGGATAAGTACTCCAAGCATAGAACAAATAAGAGGGGGGACATAGGGTCCCCTTGCCGAAGCCCTCTTTTACCCTCAAAATGGCCATGAAGAACACCATTGATTGATATGGAGTATGAAGCAGTGGTGACACACTCCATAATCCAAGACATCTCATAAGACTACTTAAGACTACTCATATGGAGTATGAAGCAGTGGTGACACACTCCTTAAGACATCTCATAAGACTACTTAAGGTGTACCTCTCTCACAATCTATATATGATTTAATCTCAATATCAAAAATATCACTTTTATCCATTCATGATTTCTATACATGAAGTAAAAGTATATTTCATCACAAAAATTCATGATTTATACATTCATCATATCATCATTCTTACAATGCATAACTATACACCATTTACTCATAAATTTGTATATTATGCATCTTCTATTAATAAACAACAATATTTTCATTAGGCATTATTAATCATTAATAATCCATGAAAATCACATTTAGTTATCTTAGGTAATCTTATGAAATTAACCCAAGGATTATAAGCAATATAGTCGGTCATCCTCACCTCAATTGAGCTTTAAACTATCCCTTCTTGGTCCAATGGTCAAGACTTTGGTCAAGGTGGATTTGGAACTGATTCCTTGCTCAAATATGAGTGTTAAACAGCCTCTTCAAAGCGCTAGCTCAACCCCTAAACGTTGGTACGAAAACAGCCCCTAGAATGGGTGTTTTCCGGTGAACACGTTTCCTAGTTTTTCCATGATTTGCTCTAGGTTAGTACATAACCTTTACATCAATAAATTAAATCTATAAGGACATATTATACACTTGGATTGGTGTACAATAGCTCCATCAATCGTTCATATCATTTGGAAAAAGAAAGGAAAGGTTTTGGGGTTAACAACTCACTTTAGAAGAGTAGATCCGTTTCTGCGAGGTTGTGTTTTTCTCGGACGATTTGGAAGCCTTCCACTACTCCGATTGATGCAAACCAGACCTTCACGGATTCCTCGTCTTGAGAGATTTCTTGTGGTATCTCACACGCCTTAATTGGATTGGTATAGCTCGAGATATCAACCCAACAGTCTCAGCACTCTCACAGCTCGAGTTTACAGACCACAGCTCACTCCAGCTCGATTTTTTGTATGATAACTCTATCCTCTCGAACAGAGACCACTAAAATATGAAAATAGACTTCAAAGGCTATCCAAGGACACCTCATTCACCTTATTTGGTCAAGTATATCTCCCATAATGAGTGGAGACAAACAGCACACCAATTTGTGCGAAAACTGCTCATGGTGGCCCTAAGTTGATGCTAATCATGTCTTGTGAAGCTTCTCTCCAAGCTGGCCGGCCAAGGTAAGTCTTCTCACCCATTTTTATTTGTCTTGCAGGTACTAATACCATGTGGAGTGGTTCCCAATTGATCCCAATCATTTTGGGATCCAAATTATCTACCAATACTTCCAAAAATGGGAAGATGGGTCCTATTGTTTTATCTTTTGTCAAAGATGTCTTTTTGTACTCATCCTAATTTATTTAGAACAAGTCAACTTCCTACATCACATTATTGATCTCCAATATGTGTAGGTTTATCACAATAATTTACTTAGTGGATATTATAGAAGAAAAATCCTACTCCCATTATTTAGCTCAATAATGTTAAAGATGGGACTATAGGCATCTGTATTCTTCTCTAAACGTCCTATCACTTATTTTCGATAATGTTGGGCTCTTTTATTTACTAATAAGTCCCAAATAGTATTTGTATGTCCGACACTAATATACGAGTTCGAACAGTACAATATTCGATCATTAGTTACGTAAAACATTAATCGTTTTACAATTGTTTGGGAATCAGAAATCCAATACATAAACTTTGAATATCTAAATCAAATTTTCAAGGACGTTCGGGTGCGGTGTCACATGCAAGGTGTTGGAACATAATGTTTTGTTGATGGCAAACAACTAGTGTTACTTATTATAGAAAAGGAAGTTAAGTCATGCTTTGGAACATGCCGTAGACTTGAACCTAGAACTGCCTGACAGATCCAAGATTGAATATATTGACTTGCTTAAAAATATATTTCTCTCTATTCAACTTCGATTTTGTCTTGATAAATTACAGAGATTTTTTAGTAAGGAAATAATCATTCATCATACAAAGAAAGAATTTTCTCTTTAAAGGAAAGTTATTTAAATCAAAGGTATTAATTAAGAGATCTTTCTACAAAGCAAGTTTCCAAGGAATGTTTCCTTAAGAAAAATGATTTCCTTCAATCAAATAAAAAGAATATCTTTTAATACCTATAAGGAAACATTTTTGAATAACTTTTATGCAAGTTGGACCAAAATATTTATTGAGATCCAAGCTTGTTGAATATGTGCTCTTGTTGATGACTAACCCTGCAGGTGGAACCGTGGAACGGCGGACAGAACCGCTCACAAACCCATGTGGAACGAAGGACAGAACTATTCATAGTTCCGTGTGGACATTTGGCTTGAATTAATATGTTTGCGCCTATTTGATTATCAACTAATATGCTTTCCATATATGGGTGCATGTAATTATTGATCACTACTAATATACTTCCTATATGTGATCACCCATTTAAATATACAAGTTACTTAGGCAAGAATATTTTCCATGCATGATTATTTTATATGTACGAAGCATGATTCGACTATGCTCTTTCCATGCATGATTGGGCACTCATTAGATAATAACGTCTCCTATATAGGTTAATACTTTATGGGAAGGATCGTGCATGATTTGATTTTAGTATGATAATTTATGAAAGGAACGTTGCATGCTTATATATGTTAAATATAGGATTCCATGATTTGCTCACCTGTTGTGCTCAAGTATTTATTCTATAATTGTGTAAATGTGATCCGAAGAAGTCTGTTGCACCATCATAGAAGGATTGTGAATCCTCACACAAGGAAAGATTTTCAAATCATAAAAAGGCAAGTCTTACATTTAATGACTTAGCCATCCAAGGAAGGAGGGTCTCAACGGATCTATCTCTAGCAGCCTATATATCGAGACCAAGAGGAATGAGAAGTGTGCGCTTGAATCGAAAAGAAAATATTCAAATAAGGAGATTTAAACAAGCACCCCATAGAAGACCAAGTACCTGCGACAGTTCCATTAGCAGTTCTATCCTTTGTAATTCAATTTCATCTATTGTATTGGGGTTAAGAGGGACATTTGAGAATGCTTTCATCCGAGGGTTGGGGTGTGAAGTGAGAGCTTTGTTATAAAGCTGAGAGACTCCTTACCCACAAGGTAAGGTAGTGAGAACTCCACCTAGAGAGGTTAGAGTTGGGGTGGCTCAAGGGTAAACTAGGAGAGTTTATCTTGTAATTTGTTTAAAGCCTTTTAGTGAAGAGTTTTTCAAATTCCTCAGAAGGAGGTCGAGGGTTTTTAATACCTATTGAGCCAAGAGATTTTTCCTCATTAAATCTGTGTGTCCTTTAATTTTTGTTTTCCCCTTGCCCCACACTAGAACTCGGCGAAAACTGTCGTAGTTCTACGCACACATAATTCACCCCCCACTTGCGTGATTCAACCGGTTCATCAATTGGTATTAGAGCCTGTATTCACCACATAGAGGGTAAAAACTTGGGAAGAGATCGAGCAAAATGAACACGATTGACCGTCTTGAAGAAGGTTATTCAACCCAACGACCTCCACTGTTCAATGGCAAGTTCTATCAATTTTGGAAAAGCCGAATGGAGAATTTTATCAAGACAGACAACTATCAGGTATGGAACGTTATTGAGGAAGGTGATAATGTCATCACTAAAGTAAACATTGAAGGTAAGGTTGTTCATAAACCTAAATCTGAATATACTACTGATGATTATAAAAAAATCGAGCATAATGCCCAAGCACTAAAATACTTGATTTGTGGACTTGGTCCTGCCGAACACAACCGGGTTTTAGGATGCAAGTCTGCCAAACAAATGTGGGATTTTCTCGAGGCTACTCATGAAGGTACTTCCCGTGTAAAAAGACCCAAAATTGACATATTTATGTGGGATTATGAACTTTTCGTGATGAAGCCTAAAGAGTCAATTAGGGATATGATTACACGGTTTACTAATATCATTAATGAGCTTTCAGCCTTGGGAAAAGAAATATCGGTTGAAGATCAATTGAGAAAAGTGATGAGAAGGTTGCCATCTAAATGGAAGCCAAAAACCAAGGCAATAGAAGAGGCCAAAGATCTATCAACCCTAACCCTAGAGGAATTGACGGGCTCCCTCATGACGTATGAGTTAGGATTACAAGAGGAACAAGATGCAGAAAATGCTAGAAAAGAAAGAGGCATTGCTCTCAAGGCATGAGGAGGAGGAGGAGGGGAGGAGGAGGAGGAGCAGGAGAAGGAGGAGCAGGAGAGGAGGAGGAGGAGAAGCAGGAGAAGAAGCAGAAGAAGAAGCATAAGAAGAAGAAGCAGAAGAAGAAGCAGAAGAACAAGCAGAAGAAGAAGAAGAAGAAGAAGAAGAAGAATTTGATAAGAACAACAGAAACAAAAAAGGTAAGAAAAGCTTTCAATCTTTTGATAACCAAGGTTGCTTTGTTTGTGGATCATTTGAGCACATGGCAAAAGACTGTCCGCGAAAGAAGCTGAAATTATCAGGAATAGGAAGATAGTTCTGCAGAAGCTTCCAAAGAAAAATTTGTGAACTTGAAACTGCTTTTTCTAAATTGACCATCTGTCCAGAAGCTGCTTGATAATCATTAATAAAATTATTAAAATTCACTAGAGATCTGAAGTCACCATTAGTGAAAATTAATAGGTCATCAGCAAACCCTAAATGAGCAACATGAAAACCTTTTTTACTCAACCAATAAGGTTTAATATTCCCCTGCTCCATTCTGATTTTTAAACTTCTTGAGAACCCCTAAAGGTTATGCTTGATGATGAGAGCTGCGTTAGATCACATAGTTTCGTATTTATAATCGCCTAGTCATCTTTATTTTAATTTGAGGACATGTAGACCTTTAATTTGTTTTCGAGATTTAAATCTTTAAATACTTGGATTATTTTTGGATGGTGGTTTAGCCTGTGCATTCGTTATGTGAGAACTGAGTGCCCCATTGAATGTTATGTTTCCGCTACAATTTAAATGTTTTAAATTTAAATGTTTTTGGGAAATTCTTGTTATACTTTCTATAGTTAACATCTATTTTGGGCGTAAGTTTGGGGGTGTTACATGACCGTTGCACTCCGGTATCAATAAGGATTCTTGGATCTCAATCTTTAATCTTTAGTGTCCCTACATTCATAAATCATGTAAGATACACTCGCTACCGTATAGACTCGTTGCTTGGATCAAAATGGTACACTGACTAAGTTTTAGGTGAAAGTAGTCCGACATTCTAGATAAACCGCCTCATTTTTCCTTAAAAATCCAATTCATAAACAAGCATAGAGGACGCTGTCCGGTTTCTAGGAAAGCCGGTCGGTTTTCGTGCCTTCATTAAAGCCCGACGAGATCTCGCCCCATAAGTCGACCGCTTTCCACGAAAGCCGGTCGGTTTACAACGCCGCGGGATTTTCCAAATTAATCTTTACAAAAGTCGTCCGGTTTCCATGAAGGCCGACCGGTTTTCAGCGCAGTGGTAATTTCCAAATTAATTTTTATAAACGCCAGTTGGTTTCCACAAAGCTGGCCGGCAGCGGGCATCGTAGTTTTTATTCAATAATCTAACCCAAAAGCCGCATATCTTTCTCAAAGTCGGGCATATTTTGAGCTGCTCCGAAACTTTACGAGGAAAATTCACCATGTGCCGACCGGTTTCCACCCAAGGCTGGTCGGGTTTCACAGCTATAGTAATTTATCATTTTAAGAAAAACATAAGCTGACCGGTTTGTGCATATGCCGTCCGGCTTTGGACCTTCCTATGTACATATACTTCTTTTTATGCCGAAACCGGCCAAGTTTGGCCTAAGGTTGGACGGCCTTTCATGTAACACCGCCCCCAAGTATTTGTACTTTATCGAATTATATATCGAACCTTGAGAAATGAATAAACGCATTTTACGTGATTGTAAATTTTATCATTTCTTTTACGTGAATAGTAAAATTCACGTGGGGCCCACACCAGAAGTGGGGGCCGCCCAATATTATCGGGACCACATATTATATTCATCTGGGTCTAGATAATATTTATATGATGGTGGAAATCCATGTTGGGCTATAGAAGCCATGTGAGTTGGCCAGTTGGGCATATAAGGCTCAATTATCGGTACCGGCGTACTGACAGATAAAAGCCATAATAAATTATGGAGGCCACTAAATTAAAAGTTGGGAAATATATATATTCACTCTGGGAATCAATAATAATTGGAAGGATGATACATATTCCATTTGACCCGATAAAACGAGATTTAATTAAAACAGTCCGAAAAATACAACTTTCAGGACCAAATGTACACTCGGGGACACAAAGGGATGACCATCCACATAAGTGGGGTCCACCCCAAGACTTTAGTCTTGCAAATGAGTATGTAGAGACGTTTGAGAGATTGGAAATGGGGGCTGCATGATGAGAAGACCAATTAAATCACCTAAGGGCCCCTCCTCACATTATTTTGTTCTATTAAGACAAAAGTGAGGGGTTTCTTCCACTCACCTTCAATCAGTTAGGCCATACTCTCTTCCTTGGTGAAAGGAGCTTTGAAAATACTCCATAGCATCCACCATACACGCACCAAGCTAAGGAAGAAGAAGGAGGACAAAAGAGAAGAGAAAAGAGGAGCTTCGGGTGGGAAAACTTGTAGTTAACAAGGTAATGACTTCATTAATCCCATTTCTTCTCTTTAATCATATTTCATACTCCTAGGATAGTTCTACACGTTGAATGGTGTGTAATGGAGTTTGAAAGGAAGTCCCAAGTCCAAGAACGGACTGTAACACCCCGGCCCCCGTAGGACCCGAGGTCGTTACTCCGGACCAATAGTACTGTCCCCACAAACCACCACGAGCCTTTACCGCGCACTTTGTCCTCACTCATGCGCGCCCTGAGAAACTTCCCAGGGGGTCACCCATCCCAAGACTACTCCCGTGCAAGCACGCTTAACTTTGGAGTTCTTGGGTGATGAGCTCCCTTAAAAGGAGATGCACCTCTGTTGGTATGAGTAGTACTATTAATCCGTTTATATTAAATCTCAAGTGTTACAATCACCCCCACTTAGGATCGCAACGTCCTCGTTGCGCCCTTGAACCAATGTCAAATCTCAATCAAATCCCAGAAATCTTCCCCCGCTAAGTGCCCGCCCGATATCCAACGGGTCATCACACTGTCGCGGGGTTGCTCTGATACCACCTGTAACACCCCGGCCCCCGTAGGACCCGAGGTCGTTACTCCGGACCAATAGTACTGTCCCCACAAACCACCACGAGCCTTTACCGCGCACTTTGTCCTCACTCATGCGCGCCCTGAGAAACTTCCCAGGGGGTCACCCATCCCAAGACTACTCCCGTGCAAGCACGCTTAACTTTGGAGTTCTTGGGTGATGAGCTCCCTTAAAAGGAGATGCACCTCTGTTGGTATGAGTAGTACTATTAATCCGTTTATATTAAATCTCAAGTGTTACAATAACAAGTTGGTATCAGAGCCTTAGGTTTTCCTAAAGGATTAGAACACGAGGTAATAGGTTGTATGGAGAAATTCTGTCACCAAGACGATAAGAGTCTAAGGCTGTTGGTTCTTAATTGAGCCTTTGCGCTCGTCCAACTACCTGGGAATTTCTCCTTGTGCTTAAACTTCGTCGTTCGAAATCGTTGAAGGAAACCTTTGAAATTGTACCTTCAAAATGGAGATTTTCAAATATTTTTAAGATTAGGAAAGATAATATAGCTAGGAAATGGCCTTTTAGGAACGTGGTGAGGACCTTGTGAGTATTTATTTTCCTTACATGTATCATGTATGTGATAATTATGCTAATTGTGGGCCCATTTGAGAAATGGGAACCCCAAATGATAAAATGGGAATGCCTCATAGGGCAAAATTCCGAAGTGGCTAAGGTATGTACAAACATTATGTGTGAAAGTGCTTTTATGTGAAGTATGAATCTTCTGTATGATTGTTATGTACATTTTTATATGATCATATTGCATAGCCTATGGAATCCTTAGTTGAACTAGGATCCTTAGGAGTAAAATATAGAAAATCTTACACGAATACTTTATGTCATTAAGATATCATGGCACCGAGAAGAGACCCTGATAACACGCCCACCAATGCTGAGTTGGCACAAAGCGTTCAACAACTGGCACAATTCATGCACACACTAGGTGCTACTGTGCTCCAGAACAATCAAAACCAGAACAACGGGAATGATGCCGCAAAACGAGTGGCATCTCGCAACCCTCCAAGCTTTCATGGGCAAGAAGATCCTCGTATCCTCGAGAATTGGCTCCGACTCTTTGACAAACTCTTCGACGCGGTGAGCTGTCCGGAAGAGCAAAGGGTTGACATTGCTGTTTACTATTTACAGCAAGAGGCGGATAACTGGTGGGTCTCATCAGGCCCAACTTTACGTCAACAACCTGACTTCAATTGGGAAGCTTTCAAGATTGCCATGAGGAAACGTTTTTATCCTGCACACGTTCAGGCCACCATGCGTGATGAATTCATACATTTGAAACAGATGGGCATGAGTGTCCAGGAATATCACAATAAATTCGTGGACCTCGCGCCATTTGCGAAAACAATAGTGCCTGATGAAAGCACCAAAGTTGAGAAATTTATCTACGGATTAAACTATGATACGCAGAAAATCGTCGCTGTTTTGGGTTGCCAAACTCTGACTGAAGCTTATGATAGAGCTGCAGTTCACTATCGAGTTCAGCAACTACAAAGAGAGAGGAACCAGAAGATGAAGAGGGACGAAGATGGAGGTCGAGGAGAAAAGAGGGTCAGAGTGCACCCACCTACACAGCAACAAGAAGGGAGGAGGAGGAGAGATGACCAAGGTGGAAGAAATTTCCATGGTCAAAACCAACAAAATGATCGAAGAGTTGCTCCCAGAGATAGACACTTCTACTGCAAGAGGTGCGGGAGAGATCATCCCGGTGTTAACTGCGATGGAAGCCTGACAAAATGTTTCAATTGTGGGAAGCTAGGGCACCGAACCTTCGAGTGTCTCTCAAAGACCAATGGGGCACCAGTGAACCAGGTGCAATACCGTGATGGAGGAAGACCAGATATGAACCAAGCTGGGCCAAATGGAGGACAAAATAACAACAACAATGCCGCCGCCAACAACAACAACCGCAACCCTCGAGGAGGAGGGGAGAATAATCGTGGCAATGGCAATGGCGGGAACAATGGCAATGGCGGAAACAACGGCAACCGTCCGAACCAAGGGCGAATCATGGTGATGAATCAGGCCCAAGCCAATGCTAATGATGTGGTTTCAGGTACATTCCTTGTAAATTCTGAGCCTGCTTATGTTCTATTCGATTCTGGTGCTTCTCACAGTTTCATATCTTCTAATTTCGTTAAGAAATTGAAGATTGAACCAACGGCTAGAATAGACTTGAATGTAAGAACCGCCTCAGATAAATTTGTAACTTGTGGAAATGTATACTCCAACATTTCCATACTCATATCTGAATCCAACCTACATGGAGATTTAATCCAATTTGACTTAAAAGATATAGACATAGTACTGGGCATGGATTGGTTAGGGAAATACAAAGCCAGGATCCTCTGTGATGAACAGAAGGTAATCTTGAAGGGTCCAAATGGGAAGAGAATATCTTACAAAGCAGTCACATCCAAGCCTAGCATGAAGTTGATGAATATGCAACAATTAAAGCGACATATCCGAAAGGGGTATGAAACCTACCTGTGCTTTATGAAAGAGGTGAATACAGGGGAACCAAACATTGACCAAATTGTCGTAGTCAATGAATTTCCGGACGTATTTCCGGAAGAGATTCCAGGTATGCCGCCCGAGAGAGAAGTTGAATTCTCAATTGAGTTGATGCCCGGAACCGCGCCAATTTCAAAAGAACCTTACCGAATGGCACCGAAAGAAATGCAGGAGCTGAAGGAACAACTAGAGGAGTTGTTAGAGAAGGGGTACATAAGACCGAGTGTCTCACCTTGGGGCGCTCCGGTCTTATTTGTCAAAAAGAAAGATGGGAGTCTAAGGCTATGCATCGATTACCGAGAGTTGAATCAAACAACTATCAAGAACAAGTATCCATTGCCCCGAATTGACGACTTGTTTGATCAATTGAAGGGGGCTAGCACGTTCTCTAAGATAGACTTGCGCTCTGGATATCATCAAGTGAGAATATCCGAAAAAGATGTACCAAAAACAGCATTCCGCACGAGGTATGGACACTACGAGTTCACTGTGATGCCGTTTGGTTTAACAAATGCACCGGCGGTATTCATGGACCTAATGAACCGTGTATTCCGACCTTACCTTGACACATTTGTGGTGGTATTCATCGATGATATTCTTGTGTATTCAAAAACCCCGGAGGATCACAAGAAACACTTGAGACTCACGTTACAAACTTTGAGAGAGAACCAGTTGTATGCCAAACTCTCAAAGTGTGACTTCTGGCAGGATCGGGTAGCGTTCTTGGGCCACATCATCACCCAGGAAGGCGTATCCGTAGATCCATCGAAGATTGTGTAAGGAATAAATGTAATTAGATTTTGATGATGCTATAGGATTAGAAAGTCAGAGTACCCCCAATTTAGATTTCATGTATTAGAATTTTCAGTTGTAAGTACTAGTGTAGTCGACGATCAGAGTTGCTCTATTTTGGATCAGATCAGAAGTGCATCAGAACTGCTCCACCAGACTTTCTCTATGAGAACTGCTCCATCAGAGTTCTCTTACCAGAAGTCCATCAGAGTTGCACCTATGAGAGTTGCTGATAAACTTGAACATCTGATAGCCGATGAGAACTACAGATCAGAGGTACTCATCAGCGGACCTATCAGAGTCAGAGTCAGAGTTCAGTCAGAAGACCATCAGAACTCAACTCATCAAATAGCCATCAGAATCCAACATATCAGAAGAGCCTGATCAGAGCCCGACTAACACTTAGAAGATTTCAAGCAACATCCAACAGCTATGAATCCAACGAGTAAAAACATCCAACGGCTAGAAGACTGTGCATGAAAGGAAAGCATTTAATGCACATTAAATGAGCCTGATACGCTGAAGGATTGATTGCAAATGATTGACCAAGGAATCCGGGAAGATATATTTTAAAAATAGAAACCTTCCAAAAACGGCGGTCAAGTCAACTGTGCGCGCATTTAATGCAGTTGTCTCCTCCTCCAACGGGCAGACAACCTCCGTATATAAGCTACATACCGAAGAACTGAAAAACAACTTTGCTACAACTCTTACACATCATCATTCAAGCTCTCTTGAGATTCAGACTCTACAACCTTCAACAAGACAAGCTTACGTTGGGAAGATTCAAACTCCAAATCTCTCATCCCCAACAAACAAGCAAAGTTCATTCTGTTCTTCAACTCTTCAAGAACTTCATCAAACATCATTTGTAACGAAGCAAGTTGGAGGAAAAACTCTGTTTTTCAAAGGATCTTCTGAAAAGAAGGGCGTCCAAGTAACTGCAGTAGTGAAGTGGTGATACTTCCGGGAAGCTGAGTGAAAGGATCAGCCATCAGGACGTGGAATTGCATCCTGGGTGGCATCTAGGCTTGAAGAAGACGAGGAGTGCTTCTTAAGTGCTAGGAATTAGCTTTGTAACTGATCTACTTCAAAGCTAGTGGAACAGTGGACTAGAGGAACGAGTTGTTCCTTGAACCACTATAAAAATATCCGGTGTTATTTACTTTACTGCAATTTATATTTCTGCACTTAGGATAGTAACTGATTAACTCTAAGACTTGGAATCTGTGTTCAGCAGATCTTGTTTTCAGAGTTATCAGAAAGGCATTTGCCTTAGTGTTTCTGAGGCTACCCGGACAGATCAGAATCCGCTGCCAAGGCCAGTTCTGATATCAGAACCAGCCTTCCTCTGTCACCAGAATCAGACCTTCTCTGATAAGTCATTTTGGACTTAGAGAAAATTTGAAAAACCAATCAGTCTATTCACCCCCCCCTCTAGACTGATTACCATATTAAACGGGACCAACAAGTGGTATCAGAGCCTCCTTGTTCTTGTAATCTTTTAGGTTACTCTCTGAACAAAGATCCACTTGTTCTTAGCCTCTCCTTATTTATTATAATGGATAATTCTCTTGCAAAGCATCTTATGTTCACAGATCAGAAATATGATGATTGGAAGATCAGAATGAAGGCACATCTATGTGCCCTTCATGATGAAATGTGGGAAGTCTTGGAAAATGGCCCCTTCATCCAGTTCATGAAGATCAATCCTGCTCACTCTATTGACAACTCTCAACCCCAGATGATTGAGAAAGCCCGGTCAGAATGGACCAAGGAAGAGAAAAGGCAGTACAACCTAGATAATATAGCCAAGGACATTCTTTACAAGGCTATTGATGAAAGATACTTCAACAGGATCAAGAAGTGCAGAACTGCCAAAGAAATCTGGGATAAGCTGGATGAGATTGGAGCAGGAGATGAACAAGAAAGAGACAACAAGCTGACCATTGCAATGAAGAAGTTTGATGACTTCAAACTCCTACCAGAAGAATGCATTGCTAAGATGCATGAGAGATTGCTGATTCTCATCAGTGAGATTTCTGAGCTTGGGAAGGAGCTCACCATCAAAGAGGTCAACATGAAGATCCTCAGGGGACTGCCTTCTGCTTGGAAGATGAAAGTGATTGCAGTCCAGGAAAGCAAGAACATCAAGACTTATGCCACTGAGAAACTCATCTCTGATCTCAAGGCTTATGAGTTTGAGATGCATGAAGAGAAGGAAGAAGTTCCTGATGAAAGGACTACCACTGCTCTCACTGCCAGTACCTCAAAGGTAAGTGACTTTGACCCTTCTACTCTTTTATCTGATGAGTATATGGCTGCCTTTGCCAGAAAATTCAGAAAATTTATGAAGAAAGATGGAAGGAGTCCATCTTCCATCAGAAAACCACATCAGAAGACCAAATCTTCTGAGAGCAATGGAGAGTACCTCTGCTACAACTGCAGACAACCTGGGCACTTCAAAGCAAACTGCCCCTATCCAAGAGTGTCCAAGAAGCAAGGACATGAAGATGAAAAGAAACCAGATGATCAACACAGAAGAAGAAGAGCATTTGTCTCAGAACAAGCTGAGAGAGATCCACTCTCTGAATCAGAGTCCAGCTCAGACTCCGACTCTGATGAAGCATTCTGCTGCTTGGATGCAGAAACTGAAGACCTCTGCCTCATGGCACAATCAGATGATGAGGTATGCTCCACTTCTAATTCTATTTCCTCTTCGGTAGGCACAGCCTTAAATGATGATCCAATGTCATCATTTTGGGAAGAGTTCCAAACTATCCAAGCCACTTATTCCTTTGTTAAAGAAGAGAACAGTAGGCTGAAAGTTGATATCTCTGATCTAAGGAAAGAGACTGAGTGCAAACTTAATCTCTTAACTGAGGAAAGAGATAGACTAAAGGCTGAAAATGAGTCACTTCTTAAAAGAATAAGAGACATTGAGGAACTTGAGAGCAGATATAATAGTCTTCTGAAGATGCAATCTTCCATGAAGAATATTGGTGATTCTCATAACTTCACCGCTGGTCTTGGATATGTTGAACCAGAGTCTGGTGAGCCTTCTGTAAGGCCTAGCACCAAAATTGCTAAAGCTAAAAAGGTCATAGTGCCACAGACTCTGAGCCCCAATTGCCATGCTAGTACTTCTGGTACTAAAGTTGTTCATGAGAAGGTCATACCAGAAAAACAAACTCTAAAGGCAAAACCAAAACAAAGTTTGAAAACTAATGAACATGGCAGACACTCTAACAAAAGGAAAAGTTTTCAGAACAATAATAATCAAAGGCCTAATCCTATCAGACAATCTCATGACAATGGTATCAGAAACTGCTATCAGAAAGGCAGATATCAAGAGAAGATTAACTATAGGCAGAAGAGGTTGTCTGGTCAACCTCAGAAGTCTAAAGTTAAGCGCTCCTCTGATCTTGATAGTATATGGGACTTCTTTCCAACAAAGAAGGCTATGCAAAAGTATGCAAACAGAAAACATGATCCTCACAAGCATCTGCCCAAAGTGAATCATACATCTGTTTACTACAACTACCAGGTGGACAATGGGTATCATCCACCAAGGTTTCAGTTGATGAGACCAAAATGGTACCAACTACCAAGACTGAATTACCCCCCAGGACCCAACATTGCTTGGGTACCTAAATCTTCCTTTTAATCTTGCAGGAACTGTGTGCTGGAGCCATCTCAGAACAAGAATGGTATATTGACAGCGGATGCTCCAGACACATGACAGGTGAC